ACTATTGGTCTCCAGAGACCAAACAAATCTCTCTAGTTGAAAGTTCACCAGCAGAAGCTAGAAATGAGGTATTACAGATCAGTCATTCTATAATCTAAGACTTTTAACCCGAGAGAGTCAGTTAGCAGTGAGAGTTCCTACCTACCTGGAGCATGGAGGAGATTAACATGGGAAGCATGCTCATAGGAAAGCGCAGGATATTGAAGAGTGTGATGGAGGTGAAGGCCTTTTGTGCATCCAGAATATTATTGCTGTCCACCAGGACATAAACCGAAAATGTGATCACAGACACCTGGAAAAACAAAGCCAACAGTGATTTATTCCTAAAAGGGATCAAAGAACCTTGTTTTAAGTCTCAGGAACAGCACTGTATCAGGCTTGAAGGAGTCTTGGGGAATATCTCAACCTTCCCATGTTACAGATAAGAAATCTGAGCCTGGAAGGGAAGGAAATATCTTGCCTGAGGTCACAAAGTCAATTAATGGCACTGCTGGACCAGAGTTCGGGTCTCCTGGCTCCTGTATTAGGGTTCCTTCCACTACAGATTCATGCAGCCTCCCCGAGAAGATGAGAAGCCTTCTCATGCAAACCATGCCCAGATACCACATTCACGCTGAACCCCCTAGAAACTGCCCTGGGCATCCAGACCGCCAAATTGTGCACAATGTTGAGGCTGGATCTAGGGACATGAGGTAGGAATAGTAGCACGAGAAGCTGAGGAGCGGGACAGAGTTCCCTGGATTTCAAGGTTAGGCTGACAAGTGCTGGGAAATCTATCAACACAGACCTTCCTCTCCAGGAAGCTGAGCCAGCTCACTGACTCCTGTCACTCACCAGGACTGGAGTTAAGTATAAGAGAAATATTATCACAGACTGCAAACGCCCGAACATCAGCAGATTTTTTAGCTCTTTCTTCCGAATATCATAGACTTGGTTTTTGAACGAAGGTTCCCAGGTGAAATATTTCAGGATCTAATAGGATAGAAGAGAGCACAGCTCACACTGTTGCCCCCAAAGGACATCAGGTACATCTCATCCACCCAGGTTTCAGGATATGCTCCCCCAAACTGGGGAGGTAGAAATTCAGATTATAAAGTGCGATTACAAAAAGGTAGCTTGTGTTTGTTGACAACCTCCTATGTACAACACGTTTTATGCTCATTATCTTACTTAATCCTAATAACAACCGAAGTGTGACCAACTGTTCCAGTTTGCCCAGGACTAAAGGGTTGCCCAGGACATGGGGCTTTCAGTGCTAAAGCCAGAAAGTTCTGAGCAAATCAGGAAGAGTTAGCCGCTTACTCTTCTAGAATTACTGTATCCATTTTAACAATATGGAAACAGGCTGAGAGTGTCTAGGTAACTTGCCCAAAGTCACCACACTAGCAAGTGGTAGAGTTGAGACTCAAAACCAGGTCTATCTTTTCATTTTGCCACATTAGCAAGAAGGCATATCAGAGCCCTGTGTGGAGAAGTATCAGGATGTTCAAAGGGGCTATTTCATTTTCAAGAGGTTTAGGGTAATATTAAAATCCATGAATTCAAAACAACATATATATTTTACAAAGAACTTATTGGTCACCTTTGAAGGATGAAATGCATTATTTTGAAAGCTGGTATGGAGAGGAAAGACGTATGCATTTATCCTGCCTATCCTGTACAAACTTTATTCTAGGGTAACCAACTAGTTAATTTGAGATCATTCTTCATCATAGAATTCCAGCTAATCAATGCCAAAGGAATAATAGAATTAAAAGATCACTTTTTTGCAACTACTAAGGAAATAATAGACCAGGGCAAGGATCATCAGTGGCTGCTAAAACTTTTATGACAGTAGTTTTCAACCTTGGCTGCATATTAGAATCAATTAGGGAGCTTTAAAAAATTATATATATAATATATATAAAATACATATATTCTCACCACTAGAGAGTCCAATTTAAATGGTTTAAAGTAGGGACCAAGCCTCAGTGGGTTTTACAAACTTCCCAGGGGATTGAAATGTCCTGCAAGGGCCACAAATCACTGCTCTGGGTGAAAGAATGGTTGGAAACTCAATAAGGGATGAATCAGGCTGACAACGCCTGGACCCCGAACACTCATAGCTAAGTTTGGAAGTACACAACACTACCTGAAAGTATCCTTGCCTCCTCAACCCCTACCCAAAAACAAAACTCCAAAACCACAAGCCTAATTTGAATCAAGACTCTAGATCTAACTACCAGTTTAAGAGAAACACAGGATATAAGACAACCTGGTTTCTACAATTAAAAAAAAAAAAGTAGAGGAGGTGGCAGGAGAAAAGGACCATTGTAGATGAAAAGCACTATCAACTAAATGCCAAGTGTGGACAGTGTTTGAATCGTTATTCAAACTAATCAACAGTTTAAAAAAATAAAATAAAGACATGTATGAGGTGACTGAGGAAATTTAATGGTATCAAAGAAGGCTTGTTAATTTTTTTTAGGTATTATAATGTATTATTAGGTATTTTAGGTATTGTATATTAAAGACTGAAATCCCTCTTTTAGGAATACATACAAAGTACTTACAAGTGAAATGACAAAATACCTGAGATTTGCTCTTAAATAATCTAGCAGGCATGAAGTGGGGAGCAGGGATAGAGATGAAACAAATTAGGTCATGCTGATGATTGCTGGAGTTGGGTGATAAATCCATGGGGGTTTATTATATCATACTCTCTACTTTTGTGCATATTTGACAATTTCTATAGTAAAAACCAAAAAACGATTTAACATGAATAAATAGAAATCATGATCAAAAGAGGGCCTGAGAGGGGTAGCAGAAGAAACAGGAGACTTGTGGGTTGATGAATCAGGAGTCGTGACACACCACAGGCCCAGATGCGGGAGTCCTCAATCTCTTAGCAGGGTTTGTTATGGCCCAGAATCCACTGTTGCTGTCACTGCACCCGGAGGGCCACCCACGCCCAGCTTCTCACCTTGATCCCACTGAGGATCTCATTCATGATCTTTAAACGTTTGTCTTTATTCTTCATATTTTTTACCTGCGGGGAAAAAGCAAAACAAAAACAGAACACACTTCCATGTGAGAGGGTCCAGATTTGCTGCGGATGCTAAGTCTCGGTGGCACTTGTGGCTGTCACTTGGTGAGAACTTGAGGTGCCCAATGATGGGATGTGTCTCTCCCACTCTCCTCTTTGCTCTCCCTGATCCTGCCACACCCACCTCCTCACTGCGCCTGAACAGCCTTGGCCTGACTGTGCCCACTCCCCAGGGTGTTTTTCCCAAGGCTTCCTCCTTCACACTCAGGTTTGTGTTGTCCAGAGCTCAGCTCAATGTCCTCTCCTCACAGAGGACTTTCCTGGCCCCATAACCTAAAACAATCACCCACTCATGATCACATTATCATGTTTAATTCTCTGCATAGCAATTATCATAACTGATATTTTTCTTCTCTGCTTTTATTTGTTTATGGCTTGAATCTCCACCCCAAGTAGAAAGTAAGTTCCACAAGAGCAAAAGCCTTGTGTAATTTGCTGTGTTCCCCCAAAACAGGATGTGCAATAAATATTTAAAAATATTTGTAACTAATGAATGCAAAACAAATGAATGAATAAATCACATACACCACTGAGCCCACCCATCCAATCAATGATTTCTGGCAAGCTAAGGACTATCCATAAGGAGCCCGGCTACCTGGTGGCTATCCTGATTGCCAGGATTTAGGTTTAAAGTTTGGGTTACTCATGTGACTGCTCTGAGTGGTTGGTTTGTAATGCTATGGAGAAACAGGGCCAATATTACTGTTCTAAGAACAGCCCAGCAGAGCAGGGTGGAAGAGTTACATGCAGGGTCCCTGGGTGGTCTTCTCTCTCCAATCAGGAACATGAATAAAGATAGAGTATATAAACCCTAAGAGTGGTCAGAAGATGAAAGGGAAGATAAAGCCAAGTTATTTTGGGATAGTGGCAAGTCTCCTATCAGCTTTGCCTTGCCCAAATTCCGATCACAAGTCAGAATAAAGTAGAAGACTTCAGATTTTGAAGAATGTGTATACATCCCCAGTGACTCTGTTTCTTTACCTGAATAGCCCTATTCTTGGTGGCAAGTACTCCATTTACTGGTATTAGGAGCACCATCACCCCAACACCTGCTAAGACTGAGGGTCCCAGTTCTGCCCATAGGAAGTAGACAGATAAGACAATCTGTAGAAGGTTTGACCACAGCAGGTGGATGAAGCTGGTCACATCCATGAGCTTCTGGGCATCCACAGACATCAGGTTCACTGTTTCTCCAACGGTGTACTGCTTCCTGGCCCGGTTGGATAGGGTCAGCGCCTAAAAATAAAGATTGGAATTGGGATACATGAACAAGGCCAAAGGTACTGGAGAGTAAGAAGGGAAATTCAGGAAGGAAGTGAGGAGACAGTAGAAGGATGGGTTCCATACGGACACAACTTTTCCAAGGGGCTGTGATCTTCTTGCCTCTAAATCTTACAGTGTTCCCTCATTCCTGACCACTCTTTTCTGCTATTCCTACCTTCCCCAACTGCCTCCTCCCCACACGTACTTTTTGTTTCTCAGAAAACTCCTATTTATCCCTTAGTGTCAGCTTAGATGGAACTTCTGCTGAAAAGGCTTCCCTGACTCCCAAGTTTGGGTTAGATACCCCTCCTGTGGATTTTCCTAACATCCCGTGCTCACCTCTGCCATTACATTCATCACACTGAACTGTAACTGTCTTGTTTTTCTGTTTCTCCACCAGTAGTAAACTCTTTAAGGACAAGGGCTACATCTGTCCAATTCACTACTGTATCACATGCACACAGCGGGGAATCAAATACTGAAGGATGGAAGGGACGGAGGGATGAAGAGAGGAAACATGTATTGATTCTGGCCTTGCAGACTTTAATGTGGCAAGGTTATGTGGAGCCATATTATAAGGAGAAGGCAACCATTCCCAAGAAGGACAGATATCTCAGAATAGAGAGGAAGGTTTTATATATTGGAAGCAAAATGATTGTTTATTGTCAGGAATTTGAGGGAAACACGTAGATGCCTGAATCTTGGGCATGGGCCTCCTGTTCTCATGTTAGAGAGATGAGAAGAAGGCTGATACCAAGTCTGTCACTTACGGCAGAGCTTTGTACAAATGCTCCCAGCCAAGGGACTCAGGGAGGAGGGGTAGGGGGCTGCGTGAAATTGGCTTGCATATGCTCGCCAAGCCACCCTCTGGTGTGGGCTACATCTCTCCTGAGGAAGGTCCCAAAAGGCAGTGTATGGGCTACAAGTGGCCCTAGATATGCACCTTCACCCTCCTCCTAGAAGCTCTATCATCTTAATCTATCAATATACTCTTCTTTGGAACATACCAGCATTCTTGGTTGTACAGTAAAAAGAGAAATTTCCTAAAATTTTAGGCTACCAAGATTCTAGAGAAGTCAGTCTATTACTATGCCTCCCCTTTGATACTGAAAAATTTTTTTTAAAAAGTAATATATAATTACTTCTCAAGGTAATCACTATATTTTTCTTTTCTCAAAGTGGAAAAGTTACTTAGTCTTGATAGTCCTTGACTGGGGGCAGGTCCTGGTTATGCGATTCTAGGCATTGAAATGATCTAAGCCCTACTTCTCTATAAACTAGGGGTAACACGGTTACTTCACAGGGCTGTGAATTAATAATGGATGTAAAAAATGTTTTATAACATTATATTGTTATAACATTTCATAAATGAGCATTATCTAAATATATGAAATTAGGCCATTTTAAACTCTATTCTAATAGCAATACTGTTTTGAAAGAAGGTCTCATTAAGGGCTTATTTTACACATTCCTCATTGATTATAACAGTTGGAAAACCTGGAATATATTAAGAATCAAAAGAGTAGGAATGGATCATCACAACTGTAAAAGTGTACGTTCATAGAAATGTCTGAGACAGACTGGTGAGTGACCTTATATCCTGCAAACCAGCAGAAATCCAGTATCTCAAAAAGGAACAAGGGTATTAAAAAATTAATTTTGGAGACGACAAATTCCAGTGTAAAGGTATCTGGGAGTTCAAAAAACTTGACCAGACTTCTGATCTTTTTTTTTTTTTTCATTTCATTTATTTTTTGGAGGGGGAGGTAATTAGATTTGTTTATTTATTTATTTATTTGATAGAGGTACTGGGGATTGAACCCAGGACATTGTGCATGCTAAGCACACACTCTACCACTGAGCTATACCCTCCCACCTAGACTCCTGATCTTAAGACATTTGGAATACCTACCTGTCTGGGTCCCTTGACAAATCAGCATCTACTCAGGGAAGACAAAGACACACTGGAGTTTTAAGAGAGGAAAGTAAAGGAGGAAATCAGGAGCTGTAATAGAGAAGTCATGATGATAGAACTCTCCTGTGGTGGATGCAAAAGAGGAAGAAAAGGCAAAACTGTTTGATGTTCTGCCTATAAAAAAAGTCTCATCGCCTCATGTATGAGTTTTCTCCTCAGGCTTGTAGTCACTCCTCTATTTTCATTTCTTTCTTTTTTATTTATTTTTTATTTAAGATATAATTGACTATTTTCATTGCATAAGGGGACAAAATGAGATTTCACCTTAGTGTCCGGGGCAGGGGAAAATAGAGTTGCTCTGAGAAAGTTAAACACTAAAAGTAAAGCGTCAAAGGGAAGATGGGCAAAATCACCTTAAGGAAATGGAAAAGCTCCCAAGCCTGCAGAACTTAGTAACCAGGGTGAAGGTATTTACAAATCAAAAAAAAGGAATCAGGCAGAGAAAGGGTTGGTCGCCATAGAAGATTTAGAAAAAGAAGTCACTAGACAAAAGTGGGTCTGGGGAGATGGAGCCCTGGTCCACAGTGTGTTCTAATCTACAGCAAAATTGTGATTTGAGATGGATGCACCAGGTCTTACGAGCCCAATTTCAAGTACTATTTGGTTTAAATGTTGGTAGTTTTAGGAGTCTGCCTTTGGCCAGCTTTTCTGACCTTACATTCTTTCCCAAGTGTTCTCAGCTCATGGAGAAAGTTAGGAAGAGAGGGACAGTATGCAAGCCTTCAAGGCTGAAAGGCAGATCCCAGGCAGACAGCAGTGTACCAGTTTTCCCTGGCATTCAGCCTCCTCACACTCCCAATCTGTATAAACACATTCCTTATTTTAATTTCCAGAGAAACATCTAAAGAAGGCTGTACAGTGGGTCAAAATCAAGTGTTGAGGTCAGTTATCATTTCTGTCAAATTTTCCTCAATCTTGGAATAAATGCTCACATTTACTAAGGGGATTTTCTCTGGTGATGCCTGGCATATTCCACTTACCTTCTTATACAAAGAAGCCATGACAGTGGTCCGTACTTTCATGCCCAGCACGAAGCACAGTTGAAAGTAGTACTGAAGGCAGAAAGACTGGATGAGGGCCACAGCGAAGAAGAGGATTGAATAGATATATCCAGCCCACAGATATATGCTACGGTCACTTGCAAAGGAGATCAACAATCTGCCAGAGCAAAACCAAGTAAGTGATGCCCATCAATCCTCTGGGGGCGCCTCACCCTCCTCATGCACAGCCAGCTACCCAACCCTCTCCTGTGGGTAACAAAGGTGATCAGACTTGTTCAATGCTCTCGGAAGACTGAGCCCCACAGTCACACTAGCGCTCTTGCCTTTGTCTGGAGATGAGCAGCAAGAGCTTAGGGCTGATGAGCCATGGCTGTGAGGAGGGATACTACGTGCTCCCCAGAGTGGCCACCGCACTGCAAGGCCCTCTGTTTCCTTACCCTTTGGGAAAAGAGGCTGTGTGGGGCAAGCTGATTTATTCCCAGACAATGTGAGCCTGAAAATGAATTAGGACATTTATCCAGCATGAGTTAGAAGGGTTTCCTCTGGAGGACAGTTCATTCCATAGAGCCTGGCAGCTGTGAAGTCTTGTCATGATTAACCTGAACCTCCCAATGAAGGCCTGTCTGTGGAGCAATGAGGTTACAAATGCTGGGTACATGCCTTCCCTGCTCACCTCTTGGATATAGCTCAGCTCACAGCAGTTCTGTTTCACAAGAAGGTGCCCCTAACAAGTCTCTGGCTTCCTATGAGGGGAAGGATGTGGAAAAGAGGGAGGCTAAAGGACAGATCATTTTAAATCTTGGAAAATGCCTTGTGCTTTTTATGAACACAACATGGTAAGGTGGAAGAAAATTATGAGCATTTTTAAAGATGAAAACTTAAAAACAGGCTCTTGCCTGCATGTACAAGGGGCAAAAAGGAGAGTGGCAGAGGAGACCCTGAAAGGACAGTCTGGGGCTGGGGGAACTCACTTCAGCAGCTGAGGATTTAGAAACGTGAGGATGTCATACACCAGCTTCAGTAGGAATGATTTCAAGAGGATGGCGTAGAAAGTTTTGAAGAGGGCCATGACCAGCCAGGACTTGGGGAAGTCTTCCGTGGTGCCCGATTTCTTTTTTTTCTTTTTAGCTTCTTCCTAGGTACAAAACCAAATGACAACAGTGCTTACAGAGCGGTGTGGTGGAAGACTTTGCCTTGCTCTAAACAGCTCCTGAGTATTCAGCCCTTGAGCCCTGTTGTCTTCCTCGTACAGGTTTTGGTCTTCTCTCCACTGCCTGGTCACCACCCACCCTTTCAGCTGCTATCACTGTTCTGCTCCCCCACTCCTGTCTGATACTTGTGATCTATTTTGGATTAGGAAAACAGACAGACAAATAAGCCAGTGGGAATACTATGTAATAACAAAAAAACAGACTGAGTGGAGGCCTGTGGGGCGCCATGGGAATGAAGGGCATGGACATGATAATATATATTTCAGATGCTTAGAAGCCTTTTCATTCTCTTCTTGCTTGTAGCTGTTGTGGGATGTTATGGGTTGAATAGAACTCCTGCAAAAGATATGAAGTCCTGTTGAACCCCCAGGACCTTAGAATGTGCCCTCATTTGGAAATACGGCCTTTGCAAATGTAATTAAGTTGATATGACGTCATTAGATTGTGTCATAAAATGGTTCCTACTCCAACATGACTGGTATCCTTACAAGAAGAGACACAGACACAGGGAGAAGAGGCCACATGATGACAGAGGCAGAGAGTGGAGTGAAACATCCACAAACCAAGGAACACCAAGACTGCTGGCAAAAACCAGAAGGTGGAAGAGGCAAGGAAGGTTCCTCCCCTCCAGGTGTTGGATGGACTGTGGCCCTGTCAATGTTTAGATTTTAGACTTCCGGCCTCCTGAGCTGTAAGACAATACATTTCTGTTGTTGTAAGCCATGCAGTTAGTGGTGCTGCTTCAGCAACCTTGGGAATTTACTACATGGGGCATCCCCTCCCACTCACCCGCCTCTTCCTTTTCCTGTGTTTTGGCCTCCTCATTTACATGCTCAGGAGTCCTGCCATGCCCCCAGTTTCAGCTTCTCAGCCTCTGTGACATCCTCTTGTCATTTCTCTCACTGAGGTCCCATCTGACCAGTTTCTCTTGCCTGAACAACTGCCCCAGCCTGCCTCCCAGCTTCCACTTTTGCCCTCCAACTGTCCATTCTCCTGGCAACAGCCTAAATGGGCTTTAAAAAATGTAAATTACTCCCCTACTCAAAACTTTCCTCTGGCTTTCCAACAGACTTAAAATAAAATCCAGACCCCTTACCATGGGCTACAAGCATCTGCACTGCTTAATCCTGGTCCACTTCCCTGAGCTCACTGCACCCCTCACTCAGCCTCCCTCTCCATGCTCCCAGAGCCTCTTTTACTTCTGCAAACAAGCCAACCACATTCCTCTCTCAGCCTTGCCCTCCTGCTCCCTCTGACTGGAAAACGCTTCCTTCTGATGGGCTCTTCTCATCATTTGGATCTCTGCCCAAATGTCAGCTCCTCTGAGAACCCTCTCCTCTTTCTCTGTCTAACATAGCATTTCACCCCAAATATATTACCGTGTTTTGTTTTCTTAATAGCACTTAGTACTCTGAAAAAGTAACATATGTATTTGGTTTATTATTTATTTTCTAGCTCTCTAAAGATGAAGACTCTTTCAGGCTGTTCTTTATACCTGTGCCCAGAATGGTCTCCGACACACAGTGGTGCTCAATAAATATTTTCAAGTGAATAAATAAATAAATTAGCTGCTAATGCTAAATCCCACCAATGCGCACATTCTAGTAATGCTAAGGTATTCTTTTATTTTATTTTTCTATTTCAAAAACATCTTATTGTGGACATTTTCAATATTCCCCAAAGGAGAGATAATAGTGCGACATTATACCCTGATGTAGCCATCACTAAGGGATTATTAGTATTGTGAAAATTACTAATAAAGTAAAATGCAAAGTATAAAGTGCTGTCAAAATGGAAGGACAGAATCACCAGAACACTGATGACCTTTTGCTTAAGACACACAACACATTTGAATGGACACTCATGGTAAAGTTACCAGGACAAGGACATCTTGGCTTTGACTCTGGTTCTTGTTCAGCTCATGCAGCCTGGCTCCAGAGTTCCGCTGGGATTTCTTTCGCTGTCTTCTCTGGAACGCCCGCCTTGCCTTCTGCAGCTCTCTTGTCATGTGTGTTTCAAACTTGCTGACTAGTATCTTTGTTTTACTCTTTTCATCAACATCCCAGACATCGTCAAGTGTCAGAGGTTTCTTGTAGCCTTTCAGAACAACGCTGGAACAAGAGCGACCCACAGACTGAAGCCCTACAGGTGGGGCCAGAGGCTGTCTCCTTGCTGTCTCTATCAAAACCATCCAGTTCTGGATAGAGGAACAGAAGAATAGGACTTCTCCCTTGCCCCAATACCCCATCTCCTAGCCCTTGGACTTGAAAGAGGAGTGGGAGAGCAGAAAAGGGAGCGGGTAGGGGTGATGGGAGGTGAAGGGTGGAGAAAACAACAAGAGAAGGAGAAGGGGTACTACTGAATTAAGGAACCAAAGAGCATCACCTCCCCCTGCTCCTTCCTCCTCAAACACTGGCTGCCTCTCTGCCGCTCTGGCATCTCCTTGAGGAGCCTTCACGATGCCCTTAATGAACTGAGCAGACCTGGAGGCCACCCCTATAGTGTCTCTCTAGATCAATGCTCCTCACCCTGGGATTTGAGAACATGGATGGAAAATAAATCACATCTTTATTTTTACTACCTTCTATCTGAAATTTAGCCTTTCCTTCTAAGATGAATGTGATGCTAAGATATTACAACCACAGTTATAAAAATGAGCGCTTGTGTCGTTGTCACCAGGAGATGTCATAGATGTTTTCATGGCTCATTTACACTCACCACTGCTTTGAAACTATTAAACCCACCACTAGGTCTTGTTATTTAATGCGTTAATAAAAAGCACATGTATTACTACGTCACAAATTTGGTTTTTTAAAAAAGTTTAGGTAACTATATTTCAATATATTTGTTTTCCTTTATACTCCCATGTCTTTTATCATACACATTTAAAACATCTGAGATGGGATTCATGGGTGTTACCAGGCTGCCAAAGGGGTCCATGGAACTTCAAAGGCCAAGAATGACTGCTCAGCTCCTCTGGCAGCCCGGGACGGCTATTTTATCCTTTACCCAAGTCTGTACCACCCACCCTGCCCCCTAATTTCCCTTTGCCTGTCCTATTGCCTCCTTTTCCTTCTGCCCTTTTTTTTTGTGGAACCCTCAGGCTACCAAGAGCAAATCCCCCTCCATCCTCTCTCCTAGGTTCCCAATCTGCCCAGTGAAGGAACTGCAGTAAATTGATCTGAATGTTTTAAGAATCTCTAAGTAGAAAAGAAATGGAGGCCACAGGAGGCACTTAAATATTAAGATTTCCATCACCTTCAGAAAAGTGAGGGGGTTGGCCTATAGACAAGCCACAGTCCAGGCATTTCCTACCTGTCATACCAGCTAAAGGTGATCCTACTCAGAAATGAAGCCGTGGATAAAGGATTCTGCAAGACACACCAAAAAAAAATCATAAAGCAAATCAAATTAGAAACAGGAATTCTATGGTACTTTAAAATTAGAAACTGATTTTTCTAAACATGATGTTGTGCTAGCAACTAGATATGATACTGAAGCAGGCTGGTCAATGTTTGTCTGGAGACCCTAAGGTCACCGGTAGAATGATAATCAAGACTTTTGGCATAGATGTATGAATTAACGTGCTGAAGCTTACTGGGTCAATGTAAAAGCCAACATTTCCATATTCTAGTCACTCCATTTCCTTATGTCACAAAATGGTCTATACTACTGTATTCTGGGCTTGTGAGACCTTCATGAGACCTAGACATCTCAAAGTTACATTTGTCAAGATACCATCCAATTAAATAATACATGAGGTTGGCATATTTAGAGTTTCACCTTTTTTTAAAACAATTTTTGAGGGGGAGGTAATTAGGTTTATTTATTTATTTACTTAATGGAGGTACTGGGGATTGAACCCAGGACCTTGTGCATGCTAAGCACGTGCTCTACCGATTGAGCTATACCCTCCCCCTCTTAGAGTCTCACTTTTGATGAGTCATTTTTTTCTGAAAATGCTGAAAGGACCAGGACCAGGATCTGGAATGCATAGCAGATGAAGAACACGCAGGAGTAGGCCAGATTAGAATTGTCACCCTGTGAGAGGAGGGGGAAACAAAGAAAATAAGCCTTTTATCTGAATTAAGTCTAAACAGCCTCCATATTAGCAATGCTTGTGATTAAACTTATTATCAAATCCCCTAAATACAATTCTGTACTGGAACTCAATTTACCTTATGTCATTTATTCCAACTTAGAAGCTGCCCAGCAGTACCTCCTCACGTCACCCTCTCTCTCCTCCTTACCTTTAAGAGTGTCCGAATCAGAGTCTGAAATTGAAAAGTGCCACAGAATATTGAGAGAATCCAGAACAGGGACAGGAACCAAGAGTTCTTCTGTACACACCAGAGCCTGCTGTGCTGGACCAGCAGAACCAGGATCTAGAGAGAGATTCACATTATGTTTTGAAAAGTACTGTCATAAACAAAGGACAAGAGGCAAGAAGGATGGCAGAGAACCGAGGGGGAAACAGGGGCTGAAGGAGGAGATTGTTGTAACTAATCTCATGCCAAATAGGACATTTCCTCCCTAATACCATCCAACTGTCTCTTTCAGGGCCCCGGTGCTTTTCCTGGGATCCTGTTCCCTACCCCATATCTACACTTGGATAGGGAGTTAGCCAAGAACGCAAAGGGTCACCACCTGCATCTAAATGGAGTAACTTCAGGAGGCAGATAAATCTTTTCAAGGCCCAAGGAAATAATTTCAGGCACTACAGTAATCAGGTGGGGGAGGCAGATTCTGCTGGATAGGTGCGAGTGTCTGTATCCTATTTTCTAAAAATATTAGGCTAAGCAATTAACAACAATAGCAAAAACTTTGCCTTGCATCATCTCACTTAGTTGTAATTAAGAATTTTTCCCAGACCCAGTGCTATGATAGTAAACCAGCATTCTGAAAACCAAGCCATGACTTGTGGCATTTGCCAATTTTCATGGTACAAATACTCCCACCATAGTGAATTTCAATCTCCTACATGATGTCACCAAACACAGGGTTCGGAAGAGAGGTACATAGTCAGCTCTTTGAGCCAGCTCCAGCACACCGCTGCCTAGACCCTTGTTTGTTTGTTTTATAAAATGGTAACAAAGTTCCTACAGGGGCCAGGCAGACCACGTTACTCAGCCAAGTGAGGATGGAGGACAGTGCTGAGCACAAACCTGGTCTAATGGGAGCAACTGCTACTCAGTCCTAGCTGACTGTTGCCCTATGGGAATGTAGGCCCACAGTTCCCAGGCATTCTGATTTTTCAAGAAAGTTTAGAAATCCAAACAATTATATTGGATTGTCCTCTTTTAAAATGATGCTAAATCAACTGTTTTTTAAATACTGTACAGCTTCCCTTCCCTACCAAAAAAACTATGTCTGCAGGAGACAGAGCAGTTTCTGCTGTCAAGTTTATACAAACAATTCTAGATTCAGTGATCCACTGATTAGAGTCACAAATCAATTTTTAAAAATAACGTTTACAGCATTTAGAAAATTATTTTACATTAAGAAACTTGGGTTTCATCTATGATCCTTAGATGGCAAGATATGAGGCCATAAGGGACACATCTTAGTCATTAAATCTAGTACTTACCCTAGGAAGGAAACATGATAAACAAGTATTAAAAAGCAAATGAAAAGCTAAAGTTTGTTTTACCCTATTACAACCAAGCTTTGCCTCATCATAGGTCCCGTGAAAAAGGCTGATGAAATTGGACTTAATTTCAATCCACCAGAGCAAATTTCAGCTGACTATGAGTAGGGAGAAGATAAACAGGGTGGAAGTGATGATGGGCCTTACCCATGTGGCCAGGTGGAGGCTTGGATTGGTGTATCTAACGGCAGGGACCGTGTCTTCTGTGAGTGCCAGGGCCAGATCTATGGCTGCCAGAATAAGAAGAAGCCCAACAATCACCTGAGAAGGCAAAAAGACCACTGTTAGGAGGATATCATTCTTTAGAACAGAATGGTTCTCAGTAATGGATGGTAAAAATGGCAGGCAGTGCAAGATAACAGTGCAACCTAAGTGTCCATCAACAGATGAATTCATAAAGATGTGGTATAAATATACAATAGAATACTACTCAGTCATAAAAAAAGAATGACAGTTCACCATTTACAGCACCATGGATGGACCTGGAGGGCAATTATGCTAAGTGAAATAAGTCAGACAGAGAAAGACAAATACTCTGTATCACTTATATGTGGATTCTAAAAAAATACAACAAACTAGTGAATATAACAAAAAAGAAACAGACTCACAGATATAGAGAACAAACTAGTAGTTACCAGTGGGAGGGAGAAAGTGGAGGGGCAACAGAGGTAGGGGATTAAAAGGTACAAATTATTAGGTATAAAATAAGCTACAAGGATGTGTTATACAAATGGGGAATATAGCCAATACTGTATAATAACTACAAATGAGTATAATCTTTAAAAATTGTGAATTACTATGTTGAACATCTATCACTTATGTAACATTGTAATCTATCACTTATGTAACATTGTACATCAACCATATTCAATTAAAAAAATAGCAGGCAGTGATTCAGATCACACACTCAATAAATATTTCTGGAATCAATGGATACATACTGTTCAAGCAATAGAATAAAGTTCAACGTGTGGTATGATAAGTGTTGCTAAGGAATGTTGAGTGCGATAGTTTTAAAGTATGTCCACAAATTCTGATACTCCTCCCTTCAAAAAATAGAGTGTAGTTCCCCTTCCCTTGAGTATGGGCTAAACTCTGACTCGCTTATAATGAATGGAATATGACAGAAGTGATGGTGTGTGACTTCCAAGAGAGGTCATAGAAAACAATGTTGCTTCCTCCTTGTTCTCTCTCGTAGACCACTCACAGCAGGGGAAACCACCAGCCTCCTTGTGAGGACATTCAAGTAGCTCTATGGAGAGGTCCACTTGGTAAGCAACTGAGACCTCCTGCCAAAAGCCACATGGGTGAGTCAATTAGAGGCAGATCTTCTAGCCCAGTCAAGCCTTCAGTTGACCTTAGTCCCAGACTACATATTAATTGCAACCTCATGACAGACCCTGAACTCAGATAAGCTGCTCTCGTATCCCTGACCCACAGAAACTGAGATAAAAAGTGTTTATTTTTAAGCTGCTGAGTTTGGGGATAATTTGTTACATAGCAATAGATAACTAATAAAACAGATTTAAAAGGGAGAATTTCTCCACCCCAACTGGGATGGCACTATTCCCTTTCCTCGGTCATTACTGCCAGCCTTTTCTCCATAAAACTTTGAAGTTAATGATTGCAAATATGTGACCCCAGGATGACTCCAAGTTAGTCAGTATTTGTCCTATGATCTCATAAGACATGATACACATTGTATTGTCCTAAAGGACCACCCCCTACCCACCCATCAGGAGGGAAAATTATTACCTCTGCTGAGGAGGTACTCCAGTATCTTAGCCCTCAAAATGAAGATCGTTAGTACCACCTGTCCTATGCTCATCACTTCCTACTCCTATCCGTCTATGCCTACTCGTTTCTGTAAGTCTCATTAATCCAGAATGGCTCAGGCAGAGATATTGAGCCCTTAGTAATGAAAACCAGCCAAGGAGGGAGATGAATGCATCTTTAACTAACAGTACCAGTGCTATTATTTGGCAAGGTGTAGCGTCAAAGACATGTTAATAAGAGAAATGAATTTTTCCCAAGTATATTGCACTTTCCTCATATGAGACATAAGAGTTTTTGAGAAAATTCATAGCTTTTTAATTGGTAGGTTATGTTTCCCTTAAGGTAAGTTAAGAGATGAAACAGAGCAAGCTGGAGCTAAAGCATCCAAACTTAGGACCACTGAGTAAAGAAACTACGAACCTGCAGACCACTCCCCAGGCCAAGGAAAAGGAGGGGACTTTGCCACAATCTTACATATATTAAACTCGTACAAATTGATTAGAAGTACACTGAGCAATCCATATCAAAAAGGACCAACTTACATTATCAGAATTTCCTACAAAGCAATTAAAAGACAGCAACAAACTAACAACCCAATGCAAAAAATGGGCATAGAATACACATGAATAAATTAAAGAAAAAGAAACGCAAATAGCTTTTAAATATATAATAAGATGCTTAACCTCACTAATAATAAGGGAGTAATTTCAAATTGTAACAACATACAATTTTCACTTAACTGATTAGCAAATAGTAAAAAGTTATTGAAACTAAGGAAAAACCTCTACAGAGCAATTTGCAGCCTGAAAATTTTGAGTCCACATGCTCTTAACCCAGTAATTTTATTTCTAGGAATTTATCCTACAGACACATGCACAAGTATAAAGCTACTTATTGCAGCATTGCTTATAACGGCAGAAGGTTAGAAATCACCTCAATTTCTATCATACAGGACACATAAATTACGATATATCCAAATAACAGCACTTTCAAAGTCGTTATTAAAAATAAGCAGGCCTTTATGTGCTAAAATAGAAGTATCTCCAAGACACAGGAGAGTGTATTTAAGATACTAACATTTGTGTGAAAAAAAAATATACATATGGAGGTGTTTGTAAAAGCATACATTATTTCTGGAAGAGTATACAAGGAACTGGTATCAATGGCTGCGAGCTCAGACAGGAGTGAGTGACAAGTGTATCATGTATCCTTTTGTACCTTTTGAATTTGGTAACCCACTGCAAGTTATCTTTCAAAAGAAAAAAGGTGAATACACTAACACCCTCATTTTAAAAAATGAGCAAGCGAAGTGAACAGACAATTCACAAATGAAGAAATATCCTTAACAAATTTTTAAGAATCAACTGCGTTAGTACTTACAGAAATGCAAAGTAAGACAACAGAATGCCATTTTTGCACACAAAATTAAAGAAAAATACATTACTCAGTGCTGGCAACGGAACAGAGGCAAGCACTTGAACACACTTTTGGTGAGACTGTAAGTTGGTAAAAACTTTTCTAAATTATAAAAATTTTCTATTATGTTTTAAAAGCCTTAAGCTGCTCATATACTTTGATATAGTAAATCCACTTCTAGGAAATAATCCGATTTGCAGGCAAATATTTATGTACAAGAATGTTAACTGGCGTCTCATTTTTAATAGTGAAGAATTTATAAAATCTACAATAACCCAAAACAGTGATGGAGGGATTATTGTGTTGACCTGAAACAAAGAGACCGCCAGATATTTCTCCAGCAAAAATGGGGGTTTATTCAGCAGAGAACTGCATTTCCAGGTCTGAAACCACAGTGAGCTAAATGCAAGTCCCCCTATGACAAGGAAAGGAGAACTCATTTTACAGAGAGGAAAAGGAAGTTGGGAAGACTATAGTTAGCAAAGAGGCCATGGCTTTTCTTTGGCTGAGTCCTAGCCAGGAAAGAAAGGAGTCTTTTCTTCTTCCTGTTGGGCTCAGCTATTGTCACAGTGGGTGAGAGCTCCTTCTTCCAGTCTCCCACCTCTATTTCATTGAGGTTTCTGTTAATTATTTCTTTTTACAGTTGGGAGGTGTTGCAAGAGTTGTTAAAATAAGTTATGGTATATTCATGTGATGAACTATTTTGTAGTCATCAAAATTATGCTCAAGAATAATGTTGATAACACTGGGAAATGCTTTTTATATCATCTTAAGTGAAAAAAATAGACTATAAAATTGCATTCAATGAATTCAATTATGTTTTTCAAATATGCATAGAAAAAGACAAGAGTTTCCAGTCCAGGATGCCAGGTTAGTCCACCTGTTTCCCATCTTTCCCAACCCCACTGAAATGATGGTAAAGAATACACAAGAAACAAATCCAAAATAGCACTGAGAGTATGAAAGGGAAAGGGTGAGTTCAGTAAACTGATTACGTTTTAGAAGACAAAAAACAATGTGTCAATGGTGTCAGATAAAAGAGCAGAGAAAACAATGGCCCAAAAGACACACAAGAAAAGGCAGCAGTGAAAGCCTGAGATAGACATTACTGGTTGCTGTGCTTGTGTTGTCTGTCTGTCCCCCCAGATTCACTCTCTACCCTTGTCCCTTAGAGCCAGGAGTGGTAACAGTTCACTGCTAAGCCCCAGGTCCCTTTGCAAATACAACCTCCTGACATCATCCTATTTTGCCTCAGCCATCTGTCTCCTGTTAGGACCCTGACAATTAGAGTTGCCTACTCAAAGCTATGTCTTCTTCCTAACAGAACCCCTCTTTTGTAAAATATTTACCCTACTCGGCTCAGCCATATGCTTGGGTGGATGCTGCACCCATCTCCAACCCTAAGAAGGGAATTAAAACCAATCATGATGGTCCCATTCCTCTGGCCTATGACTGTTTTAGCCATGGGCATGTGACACAATTATGGCCAAAGAGAAATGAGGGATAGCTTGTGGGGACTAACCACCAGGAAGCTGAGAAAAATCAATACTTGCAAAGAATACAGCTGAGATAATTAAACAGAACAACTGATTCTGGGATGAAACAAACAGTAATGAAGTGAGCAGAAGAGAATTTTAAATTATTTTAAAATTAGTGTCCTAAGAGAGATTTGAGAAGATACTGCATCCATTAATATGTTGCTGTTAAAAAAAGTTATATTCAGAAATTAAGATGAATTCTTAGGTATCAAATCCATTATTGCTAAAATAAAGGCTCTTTAGGATGATTAAAAGAAAAAATTAAGAAACTCTCTCAGAACATAGGGGAAAAGAGAAAAAGAAATTCTAAAAAGTTGAGGAGGATGATCAGTTCAGAGTCCAACATCTATCTAAAAGAAGTTCTGGAGCTATGGAATTTCAAACTTAGAGGAAAGGAAATGAAAAGAATAATACATAAAAATTTATGTATTATGCAGGTAAGAAAGATATGAGTCTTTAGGTTGAAAGTGTAGAACCCATTGAATGAAAAAAAGAACTCATTGAATGAAAAATGTAAACACCCTCGTGAAA